CTCTCAATAATATCATGAATATCTAGATATCTTTTAACAAGATAATATTACAAACATACCTCTCTTACAAGAATCTGAAGTGAATCACAGTATCAAGTTAGAGAAAAAGAATGATAAGAACTCTGAATTATTATAAGACTCTCTTTATAACATGTTCTGAGATGAACTTCTTCTTCTTTGAAAGACACTCAATGATCTGTTGAATAAAGAATTCATATATATTAGTAACTCTTTCACTGCAGTCTCTATTCTCTTTGCAAAGAAATTAGATAAAGAACTTCAGTTCTGTATGAATTATCAAGAATTGAACAGATTAATAAAGAAGAATCATTATTCTTTATCTCTTATCAATGAAACTCTAGCTTATATTAAACAAGCTCAATGATTTACAAAGTTAGATATTATTACTGTATTTTATAAGATCTGTATCATTGAAGAAGATGAGTGGCTTACAGCATTCTGAACATAATATAGTCTCTTTGAATGAGTAGTTACACTCTTTGAACTGGTCAATACTCTTAGTACATTTCAGAAGTATATCAACTGAGCACTCTGAGACTTTCTTAATAAATTTGTATTCACTTATCTAGATAACATTCTCATCTTCACTGATGAATTCAGAAAGGAATATCAAGAGCATGTATAAAGAATATTACAATAACTATGAGAAGCAGAACTATTAATTGATATTGATAAGTGTGATTTTAAAGTCAAGAGTATTAAATATCTGGATTTTATTATAGAAGCTGATAAGAGAATTTGAATGAATTCTGAGAAAGTCTTTATCATTCTTCAATGAGAAGCTCTGTGTACTGTGAAAGATGTATAAAGCTTTATCAGATTTGCTAACTTTTATCAGTGATTTATATAAAACTTCTCAGATATTGTAAGATTACTTACAGAACTCATCAAGAAGAACTCAGTATTTCAGTGATCAGTGAACACTGAAGCTGCATTTATACAGATGAAGAAGATGTTCATTAACATCTCTCTGCTAATAATATTTAACTCTGATCATGAAACAGTCATTGAAGCTGATTTCTCTGACTATGTAACAGAAGAAGTGATATTGTAATATAGTAATAAAGCTGTTCTATAATCATGTGTCTTCATATCTAAGAAACTGAGTCTCACTGAATGCAATTATGAGATCTATAATAAGAAACTTCTCAAGATTGTATACTGTCTAAAAGAATAAGACTCTGAACTCTGAAGTGTCTCTGAATTTGAGATAATCACAGATTATAAGAATCTTAAGCACTTTATAATCATCTGTAAACTCACTGAATAACAGATGTAATAATCTGAATTTCTAAGCTACTTTTATTTTACAATACACTACTGCCTCAGTAGTCAGAACTCGATGATAGACATTCTCTCATGATGAGAATAAGATATGCTGTCTGATGTAACAGACACACACTGAATGAACTGAGAATATCAGCTCTTAGATTCAAAGATATTGCTTGATCAAGATAGAACAACTCATGACACTATATACACTTCTTTAATTAGAACATTCTCTCTCTGAACTATCACTGATACTGATATCTTAACTTCTTCTGAGACTACACTGAATGATTATGATATGTAACAGCTCAAACTGATGAACTTCTTCAGCACTCACCTGAAGCAGTATATCAAGAAGTACTCTGATTCTTCTCAGAACTATGTATAAGAATCACATCTCAGAATGCTTAATTAATGATAATAATACTCTACAGTTTTATAACAACATTGAGTCCTCTACTCTGAACTCTTACATACTCAGATAATGCAAGAGATGTATAATTTACATATAATCAGTTACTCAGATTATAAATAATTGTATTAAATAATCTCTTAAGAGTTCTACTGATCTGAGATATTAAACAGTATCAGACATTTTATTTAAAACTGTAATCATTATTCTTTCATTATCTTATGAAAGAACTGTAGAAAAGATCTACTGAAATCACTTAATATCTCTGATAGAATCTGATAAGATGTGATAATTAACTTCACTATTAATCTCTCTGAGAGTAAGAATTATAGAAATATTCTGATCATTGTGAACTGATTGAGCAAAGATGTAATATTAAAATCTTGTGATAAGATAAATACTGAATAAGTCACTGAAGCTTTTCTACAGAGCTTATTCTATCAGATGCATAGATTGCTGAGATTCATAGTATTATATCAAGACTGTTAATTTATAAGTACTCTCTGAACAAGAATCTGTCAAATTCTCAAGATTACACATCATCTATCAACTGCTTATCATCTCAAGACTGATAATATATCAGAATAAATAATTCAGACTGTAAAGAATTATCTCTACAAGTTCTGCAATTACTTATAAGATGATTGACATGATCTGCTTCTATATACAGAGATTACTATCAATGAACAAGATGCTGTTTCAACAGATATAAGTCTGTTCTTTCTTACACACAGTAATTACATGAAAGTGTTGAATCTTCTAGAGATCACACAGTTCACACTGAATTCTCACAGTTCAATTCAGATTGCTGATAATATAGTAATAAAGCTCTGAGATGCCTGCAACTGAGCAGAGATCTTCATAATAACTGTAAAACAAGATTAAGAGAATTAAATCAATATTCACTAAGATCTCACTGAACAATATAAGATAGAAGACTTGATGTAATTAAATCTTAAGAATATACAGATCACACATTCATCTTATACACTGAATTATCATTATATCAAGTATAAAGTGATAGAAGTTCTAGATAGTTATAACTACTGTCTTGATACATTATCAGAGATTCATGATGTCTTTTACACAAGCTTGCTCTGTCATGCTGTCACTGACTCATTCTCTTCTCAACTGACTTTCAACTGACAGCTGTCAGGCATCATAGAAGAAGATAATGAGCTTGAGTAAGAGATTGAGAATATTCTCAATGAGAAACTCTACAGCTGCAGCTGATAATATCTTATAAAATGAATCAGCTATAATCAACTGATCTGAACTCTGAGTTTCATGTTATCTGAAACAGCAGCTCTTGACTGATGAGAACTGTTTCTGAAAGAGAGGGACTAATGTGACAGGCTGTGCCTGATCAATTATATAGACTATTCTGTTACACTTCACAGATTTCAATCACTTCATTCTCAAATATGTATGCTCTGATTCTCAGCCATTCTCAATCACTGATTCTCAGTCATCTCAAACATGTATAGATTCTTCCGCCCTGAAGCTCCACTGTGTACATCATCACATACATGTATAAATATTCACTTCAATCACTAATTCTCACACTTTCTCTTTCTTTTCCTTCTCTAACATTTTTCTCTTTATTATATAAGACCTATCAATATAATACCGATCTATTCAGCGTAGGCCTCTTACATTTAACTTATCAAGACAGACTGTTTCATTTTCTTTCTCTAGTTAATAGTAAAATTGCTGTACTTCTTTTTTAATATCAGTATACATCTGTAGATTAACTAAGTCAGAGTTTTATTTAAATTACATACTTAATATATCAGAGTTAAAAGTAGTAATAGTTATATGTAATTGATACAGAGTACTGATTATTAATCTTCAGATAACTTTCAGATAAGAATGAATATATTAGTAGTTTTAGAGAAGATTCAGAAATCAGAGAGATTTATCTGTTACTTTCTTCTCTGTAAGAGATAATAAGACAGCTGAAATCTCTGTAATAAGAGTAACTATAAAGTGTGACTGAGTCTTCTATGAAATCACTGATACTTAATAATCTATTTCTCTTACTCTCACATACTCTTCTCTCAGACTTAATTTCTACTCTTCTTCTTACTTTCTCAATTCATCTCTGACTATTTTTTCTCTCAGATTCTCAATCTTCTACTCAGATAGTACTTATATTTTATATAAATAACTTTAAATTATAAACACTACAGTATCTCAAGTTATTCTCACTATATAACTATCTTAATTCTTATATTTTAGAAGTTAGAAAACTCTCTCTTTTAATTTTATATTATAATATCTCTTTCAATACTCTGCTACTCTCTAAGTATGATCTTTCTTCAAAGCTATTAATCAAAGTTTATATACTTATTAATAATAATACTCAGCTATATACACTATTAAACTTTCCCTCTTAATTAAGAGAGATATTTATATTATTACTCAGTTCAGAGAATTTCTGATATAATATATTTTCTCTCTATAATCTAATATATTATACTCTGAATTTATATCTTATCTCTATCTATAATATTTATAATAATATCTCTGATATATTAATTAAACTATCTTCTCTTAAAAGAGATATTACAGAGACTGATTTATTATTACTAAGTATAATTAGTTTAAATAATAGTTTAAAAGCTTTCTTCAGACTCTCAGATCTTTAGAATAATATTCTTATTAACTCAGTAATTTTTACTAATAATATACTCTAAAATATTAATAATTTTTATCAGTCTATTCAGTAAGATAATAATTTTATAAATTTAAAAATTATTTATTTATATTTTAAATCTTTTCTATCTATATTCTATAATATCTTTAATTATTATTAAGAATTCTGAGAGAGATTTAATAGCTGAAATAGAAATTCTTAAATAAATAATAATACTTATATTCTGAATTATCAGTAGATTTATTTTATCTGTTATAGTACTAATATTATATCTTACTTCTATAGTATAAATAATAACTTTCTTAGTAATAAATAGTTTAGAAGATATAAGTGAGAATTACAGTAATTAGAAGAATTAACTATAAAGTGATTTTATATTATCTCTATATCAGCTATAAAAGATTTCTTCATAGCTCTTCACTCTCATTTTCTGTTACTACAGCTCAATGAGTGTCTGCAGTTCCTTTCTTAACTGTTTAAAGATGCTTTGGCGAGTTGCATGCCCCACTCAGCGCCGGCAATATGAGGAGATGAGAGTGTGCGACCAGCCGGTCACTCAGCTCCTCACAAGCATGAGCGCGGTGAGGGGAGAAAGGGCCACAGAGACAAGCTGTGGCAATGGCTCCCGGCGGATGACACATGGCTTTTGAGCATGATGGAGGAGCGCCAACCCTGGCCAGAGATAGAGAGGTGTTTTCCAGAAAGGACAGAATCAGCGCTGTGCCAGCGGGTGTCTACACTTCGGAGAAGGGAATGCATACAGTCGAATCCGCCGGTGCCACAGTAGCATCTGCAGCCCCCGAGTGGTGAGACATAATGCTACTCCATGTCCATGTACATAAAAGTGATATCATGAATAAGATGGCCTAAAGGTGGCCTCTCCTGGCTGTTCATTAACGGCCCTTGGTGGGCAGGTGAGGGTAGGGTGGCCTTGAATAAAACCAGAGAAGCCGAGCCCTTCTGTCCATCGCACTGCCATGCGATCCCCTCTTCTACTGCGACAGCTGTGGAAGGGACGCCATTGCTGCATGAGTTCTATTTTCAGACTTCGCCCTCGGATATTGTTGGCTGCTGCGCCGTGCTTGAATGCCTGGGGAGAGCAACCTTGGAACCCGAGACAGGCATCCCGTGACTTGCCCCCATTTCTTGATATATATAGAGGGCTCTCTTCCCCTCCAGATCCATCATTCTTCTCACCCCTAACAGTCCTGGTTAACAGCCAGAGCGACATCCCGCATCAACACCCCTTTTCACCATCCTGATACACAAGCTGTATGTCAACAGAGAGGTAAAATCCCGTGACCTCTTCTTCGGCCGTTGGGCTCCTTCGGCCGTTGGGTATATATATGGCCTTCTCCCCCCTCTCTGACTCCATATTTCTTTCAATTCCTTTTCCACTCTCCATTCACTGAGGGGTCCTGTTCAGCCATGGCTTCTACCGAAGCTGAACCCCGCAGCGCCATCGTCATCGATGACGATACAGATGCAGAGATGGACACACCTCGGTTCCCGCCGCGAGAGCTATGGAGAAAGAGACGCCTTGTGAACTATACTCTCCTGGAGTATGAGACTCTGTTTGATGACTCAGTGCTTCTTAATTTCTCTGTATTCATAACATTACAGTCACTGAAGAAATACAAAATACTTAACTTAAAAATAGTTCTGATAAGATCTTTCTCTCAACTGAGCTGAACTTACTCTTTACTAATATTAGAATAGATAACAGCAAATCAAGAAATTCATATCATATTTAAAACAGAGTCTGTAAAGATTAGAGAGCTTTAAGAAGAAGTATAGTATCTGAAGAAGTGAAATACTGAGCTAGAAATCAAGCACTGTACAGAGCTGATCAGAAAAAATAAACAGATCTATAAGCTAGAGACTAAGATCAGTAAGCTGATGCATTGATATCAATATTCAATATATTATACTATCTCTTCAGAGTGGAAAACCCTTCTATACAGACACAGGTTCTGCCCAGAGTGTCTCTCTTCTAACTCAGAGACCTGTGGATCATGTTGTCGAGATTTCACTGGCTATATAAAGAGTGATTAGGTAGCAATAGCAATGCTTTTTTGTCTGCAGCGCTAGACTCGTACGATCATAGTTTTGTAACATTGGTAGGAGAAGAGGCAGGGAAAACAACAAAAAGACATTAATTAGAGGTCCGCCATATTCTCAATCTTGTTGCTCAATCTTGGAGTGAATCGGGTACATGTAATTATTGGTATGCTTAGGCTGATTTCGCAACTTTCAAAACTTGTGAGGGTCTTAGACATAGACTTGGCTGTTGTGTGGGATCGCGTTCGGGAGAGACTGGCGTTGGATTTCCAACAGAGCCCAGCAAAAGTCGGTCAAAGGCATGGTGTATTAAAAGACAAATCAAGAGCAATTCACGCTATCAATACACTGAATCTTCATTAGCCTACTGCACCTGAGTTATAAGCGTGCGCCTGAGTTTCTAGATATAGTTTACCAACATTATCCAGGTCATCTACCAGCCTTCTAGTGAGGCTCAGTCAGAACTGAACCCCGCCTGAGAGCTGGCCAAGGTGTCGGATTGAGTGTCACGGATGAATATGTTGGAGACATATGAATCTTATGTGTATCAAGATCTGCTTGTTATATTATCCATGCTCTTTCTAATATATCTATTTCATATAAAAGATAGAGCTATTTATAGTAAAATATATATGTGAGTCAAGAGAGCTAGTATAAGCAAGTATTAGATGAGTATTATAGTAAGCTGATAATAATGAGAAATATTGTAGTAATACAATATTGATGATATTCAGTAGTATATAATCTCTTTTTTCTGACACACTCTCTTCAGTGAATGTAACATATAAATAAAAGTGTAAATGAAGCCGTAATAAAAAGAGTATAGATAAATCTATAATAAAAAGAGCATAGATGAATCTGTAGAGATTATATCAAGATAGATTATTTATTCTGCTTGTATCTTGATAATATCTGATATATTAACTAGGTCTAGTATCTTGATAAATTCTGTATATTTCTGGCATGACAGAGTCTTAGTGAGGCCATTCACTAGCATCTAGACTATAGACACTTAATTAACTGTAATATTACTAAATTGAACACATTCTTGAAGCTAGCTTTCATATATATCAATATGACAGAGCTTGATAATTGTAGAGAAATCTTTCTTTATAAGAATATTAACAGTTTAATAGTTATCACATTGAATACAGATCTTGTGATCAGATTTAAATTAAATATATTAAAAGAATCTATTTCATTAGATAGACTTCTTACTAACTTGTAAGATAGTAATAAACTCAGCTTCTGTAATAGATGTAGTTATAATTATCTATGTATTTAATTTTTAATCAATAGCTTCACTGAATAGTTTGAAGATATATTCTTGCCCCGGTGGCCGAATGGTTTAATGCGGCCACCCGGTAGCGCCTTGGTGTGGGAAACCAAGGCGCGTGGGTTTGAAACCCGCAGGGGATATATTAAATCCAGAACTCAAGCACCTCAGGTTTCTAATAAATACAGAGGTGTACAAATCACTTCAATGAATTGCTCTATGTTTCTGAACTGAGAAGTTATTATCACATGTATCTAAATTGTCACTTCTTTGTATTTTTCTATGTTATTGTTCTCTTGACATGATCTTAACACCTGTATTTCCTTCTGTATAATCAATACTTGACCTGTATTTAACATCACGCAAGGACTCATCATTAGCTCCGCTTGCATATGAGTATAATGAAAGAATAATAATAATAATAAATAATAATAAGATATATTCTTATATAAAGTGATAATTCAGATTATCTATAAAAGAGATATCACTGATAGCTTTAATAATATTAGATTTGAGATTAAGTTATAAAGATCTGTCAATATTATTATCATATTAAATAGCAAGATTCTTTATATTATATAGATAAGATATTATTCTATTCATCTCTGATAAGTGATGTTCTGATGAATTTATCATGAATATAGCTAGTTTACTCACTGTATATATAATATTAGAGTGAGTCATCACTGCTGAGTAAATATAGAAGTTAATATATTATTAATAATAATGAATTTTTACAGATATAACTGACTTATTAAAAGGCTCTAACAGAGTATCAGTTAGTAAAGTATATATCTTACAGATATATATAAGATGATATATATTAACTATCTTATCAATATAGACATTCTGATATAGTCAGAGCTTCAAGTTGAGACAATTATATATTATTCACATATTGAGAAATCATTTCAAATCTCTTATCTATTAAATCTTGTAGATATTTTTAAGATCTTTGATTAGTTAATCTCTTTCTTTTAAATCTTCTCATTGCAATGAAATGACAATATTATTTATATAGAAGAAGATGATTAATCAATTATTAGAGAAGAGACATCAATTCTCTGATATAGAGATAAAGTCTAGTATTCTCAATATTAAAGATAGTTTATTTAATCAGAGAAGAGATAATCTGTATAATTCATATAGTACTTATAGAAGTTTTAGTACATGATTTATACACTTTAAATTTTACACTCTCTTTAACTTTCATTATTCATCAGATAGTTTCATATATACTAGCTTATTAATATTACTATTAATGAAGATATTAATTTCATCTAGCTGTTTCACATCTAGATCAAATACTACTATTAGAGTTAATAAGATTCAGAGATTTCTGACAGCTAGTATATAAGCTTTTATAGTGAGATCTGTGATTGATTGAAGATCTCTGTGTATATAGATATGAGCTTTGTATTTTAAAAGAAAATCTTCATTATTGAATTTATAGATGAATACTTATTATAGAGAGATAACTGAGATATCTCTCTGTAATCTGCTAGTAATTTTATATATATTCTGCAGAGATATACTATCTCATTCTCACTTAGCAGTGTTCTTAAATTCTTTATAATATAAGTGTTTTTCAATATCTGCTCAGTAATTTGATGAATCTGACAGTTGAGATCTATGAATTCTTGAAGTCAGTATGAATACTGTTGATATAGCTGTATTATTGATAACTGTGAAAACAGTATTTGAAAATAAATTTTAAGACTTGTAGAAGTCTGAGTGTGATTGAGAGAATATCTCATTGATTATTTAAAATGAATTATTTTTGACATTTGAAACTGTCATAAAATGAGCAGCTCTGTGTTTTCAGATTCTGCAGTTATTAATGATATTTACTTTATTAAAGTCAGCACTGATATCATGAGCTCTAGATACAATATTTCATATTCAATTATCTATCACAGCTGGATGAGTATTAATATCAACATTAAAATCTGTTAACTCTGATATTGAATCTGATGTAGAAAGAATTGAAATGTTATGATATTTATACTCATTATTTTTCTTCTCTATTTTTTCAGAGCTTTGAGTATTTTCTTCAGAGTGAAAAACATTAATATCTGTATCTATAATCTCTTTCAATTGATTGATAGAAGTCATTGATGATTCTTGAACTTTCATATATAGAAGCTTCATCTTCTTAGATACTCAATCTCTTAGTTGTCTTTCAATGTAGAGATCTTCAGAATTGAATTTTCTATTCTTATTAAATATCACATCTCTTGCTCTTATCACCTGTTCTAAGTGTGAAATTCAAATTCAATTGATGTTTGTAGAATTATATTCATCTAAATATTTAATATATGCTCAGAGATCTAGCTTCTGAGAGCAGTTTCTATTGAGAACTTCATTCAGTATCTTTGCATAGATGCAATATCTGGAGATTCAAAGATAAGTATAGAAGTAAGATTTGATTTATAGAAATTCTTTCAATACTCATAGAGATGACTTTCAATCTAGAATTCTAGTAGAGATTTGATTTACTAGATAGATAGCAGTAAGTGCAATCTCAGAAAAAAGTGATTGTGATAGAAGAGATTCTATCTATAGAGTTCTTATCTTTGTTATTAATATTGCTTTTGCTTACTCTGCTGCATTATTTTACTTATAAATATACTCTGAAGAATACTTCATCTCTAGGCCTTTATCATTCACTTAATTTATGAAGTCATCTGCTTTCTTAACTACTGTATCATTGTTAATATGAATAATCTTTATAATACAGTTGAATTGATATTTAATTCAATTGATAGCTTATCTAAGAGCTTTTCAGATTTCTGATTTTCAGATAGCTGTTATAGCTATATGAAAATGAAGATAATCACACATGAAATGTATGAGATAACACTCATCATTATAGCGCTGTGTAGGGCCATATGTGATATTCATATATAGGTGTTTAAATGATATTTGAGATCTAATGTGAGAACATCTAGATATTTGATTTTTTATATTAAATAGATGACAGAGTTTACAAAGCTCAGTGATAAGCTTTTTCATAGTGTTTTCTAGATTGATGATTTGAACATCAGTTGCATCATTTACAAGCTTTTAAATTATGATTTTTAATAAATGTTCTAATCTCTTATATCATGTAGACTGAGTAGCTATAGAGATCTTCGGTTTTTAAGAAGATTTTGTGTATATTAACAGGTTGAAAGAATGATTTGTTGAAGTATATAATGACAGATTAGAAGAAGAATTTGTAGAAGTTGAAGAATTTGAAGATATCATTTTTTCAGATATAGTGATGTTAGAAGTGTGTGATATAATAGCTGCAGCAGCTTCAGTAGTGAATTTTTCTAAGATAGTTAAGAAAATAGCTATTTCACTATATTCTATAACTAGCAATCTCTTAAATACTTTAACATGTGCAAAGATTGTATTATCTGTGTGTTTTTACAATCTGAAGTCTTTTTCATTATAATAGATG